CGGCGGGGCGGCGGGCCCCCGCTGTTCCCTCGGGAAGGCTGTGTGGCACGACCAGTGGCTGCAGCGTGGGTGTTCGGAAAGCCCCTCAGACGGCCCTGAGTTTTCTCAGTGTGCGCATACTCCTGTAGCCTTTGCAGATAGCAGCCACTGTTGTCTTGGGCATGGTCCGAGTTACACGGCCCCTTGTTGATGCTCATGTGTGGCCTTGTGCATGTGTGGCCGGCTCTCGGCGTCCCTGGTTTATCACTTTTGGTGGTTTCAGCAGCGCTACCTGTCCCTGGAGTTTATCACATCTTGGGAGATTTTCACACGCCACCTCTCGGAACACACTTTCCCTGTTTGGGCTGGCCTGCTGTTTTCTGGTAACAGTTTCTCTGCACTGAGCAGTAGCAGCAGAGACTGTTAACGTAAAATCACACCACTGGGGACTTTAGAGAGAGAATGGAGACCTGCAGACGGGCAGGTTGGACAGGGTGGACCACTATCTTCCACTGTTGTCGCAGTCCAGTTTGTTCAAGTACATCCATAAATGTGTGTCTGGTGCATCAGCGGAGACTCTTGGGATGGGAGGGTGACTGGGCAGGTTTAGGTTTCCTTTCAGATGGAGAAATTGTGGCGCTGACTGAAGATGTAGAGCAAGTCCATGGTGGACCCTACAGGTCTTATGCTCTGTTTCCTTGAGCCAGCTGCTAAAAATACGTGTTTGCATTCTTGAAAAGTCACCCTCCACTTTTTCCCAGGTATTAATTTTTTCCTATGAGACTATGTGGGTGGGATACAGTGTTTTGAGAGTCTTGGCAGCATCTGAGCCATCGTATGATATATCATGGCCATGCATGTCCAGCAGGCTGCTGTAGCCTATGGACAGACAGCTGCGGTGCTGACTGAAGACACTCCTCACTAGTTGGTGGTGATAAAGTCTTCAGCTGGCACTGCTAGATCCAGAGGGTGATGTCTTTCTAAGGCCTTACCCTGCGAAAATGCCACCCAGAAGTTTGCTGCCTTTTGATACCTTCCTGTGCTTGTTGTGTTGCTACAGTAGGCGTTGACTGTAGGACGTGCTAGTAACAACAGACTTATCTTTAACCTTCTCAGGGGGAGTCTGGTGAAAGCTGAGTGGAAGCCAGGCCGGAGCATCGTAGAACTGCAGTCCCCTGCGGTGAGTCTGCTGCAGAGTGTACTCAGTGCCATCATCTCCTGCTGGCCATTGCAGATTCCTTAATTTGCTGCTTGGAATGGGAGAGAACCTGGTTGCCAGCGGGGAACAGCCAGAGCCCATCCTGGATTTGTGCTTCTGTTCCAGGGGAAGTTTTGGCACACCATGGGGTTCACAGAGCGTGGCAAACAGTGCCTGCTGCCCGAGGAAGCTCTGTACCTGCTGGAGTGCGTAAGTAGGATATCTGCGCATGGATGGGGGCATCGGGTCCTTCCTGAATGATTGGAGGAGCTGTAGCATCTTCAGACTGAAGTCTGAAATCACTTGACTTGTGTTGGTCACTGCCACAGGTTGAGCAACTGATAAACACCTGGTTCTTGAGGAATTGTCTCCTTTAGCCTGTTGCTGATGGAGCTGTTTTTCTCCAGGCCATGGGTTCATATATTGTACTCTAAAGCAGCCTCTGTGTCATTGACTGTGCAAGTTAGTTAGATCAGTGGCCGATTTATTCAGCTGGTATCGTGTTTAACCCATTTCTATATCAAATATGACAATAGAGACTAGGAGAGTTTTAGCTGATCCGAATTTCTGTCAGTACAGCAGTAATAAGACAGCTCTCCTACCAGAGTGAGAGAAGCACGAGGAACATGTTACAAAGTTTTCTACTGAGACCTCTACTTTCTTGCTCTGGGGGTGATGAAGCACACGTTTATATATCAGTTATGTCTTTACAGAAATCTGTGTATGGGGACTTGAACCTCCACAGTCCAGGGAAGCTCCCTGTTCTGGGAATTTCTGGAAATGAGATCAAACCGTTATCTTCTGTTCCTTGCAGGAGTTAATTGGAATAAAAGGTTTGACACTGAGAAATCCTTTTCCTCAGAACTGGTGTACAGTTAATTAGGACATCTGAGACTGGTCAGTGCCTTTTCTGTCATAAGTTGACTTCCTCCCTCATCCAGGGTATCTTACATGTTTTGCAGTGACAGGGTTTGTAAGTTCATTAGCACAGTTTTCCTGTGTTTCCCTAAGAAGCTGATGGGAATTAGTGGAACTCTATCCAGGTTGGTAGGGCTACGTTGGCAGCCAGCGCTGTACATGCTTTACACTTAAGCAGAGATCTTTGGGGTTGCTACTTGGCATTTCTTCCCAGTACATATGGCAGAAAGAAATTTATACGTGGCAGACAGGAGAGTGCGACCAGGTTGCTTTCAGTGCTCCTCTGTTTGCAGAAATGCTGTTTAGGGCTCAGTTGGATTTCTTTGCTGTAGAGAGGGTTTTTTTTTTTTTTTTGTCTCTCCACCGAAGCCTGTTACCAGTAGAGTAGGTGCACCAGTCTAAAGGGGAGCTTTTTTCCCTTAGCAAAACTTAATCAGATTATGGGCATCTGATGCCATCCCTTAAATCCTAACTGCAAAGGTAGGGTGCTTGTACCCCTAGCAATTTGACAAACAACGGGTTGTAAATAAATTGATGAAAATAAAATTGTTTAGTCAGTTGCTGAGTCTCTCCCCAGAAGCAGAAGAGACCTGTTAGATGCCTCCAGCCCATCCCATGGGAGTGGTGTGGTTCCTAATGTTTTGTTTTCTTTGTTTACAAATAAACACATTTAAAAAAAAAAAAAAAAAAAAAAAGAAGGAAGGAAAAAGAAGTAGCCTCAAACTGCCTCCTGGAGGTTAGTTGCTATTGCCTGGGGAATCTACCTATGGGATCACTGGAGATGCAGTAAATTGCTTCTGAGGAGCCACCAGTTGATGGCATCTGGGGATGCCATCAATTCCTCTGATCCATCTCTCCCAGTTGTGCTGGTCTTAAATGTTTCTGTAGTTGTGCTGTGTCCTGAATGACTGAGATCATCAAAGTTAAAGAAAATTCTCTCCCAAAGCAATGGTTATTTTAACAGTTGAGCATTGTGCTCCCAGCTGCATCCTCCAAACAGATGCAGTGCCGGAGCAGGAGCTGACAGCTGTGGGTGGGAACTTCTTACCTAGCTGTTAGAACAGCTAGGTAATGGGGGAAATGGGCATGGGAGAAGGACTGTAAGTAATCCAGGTGGCACATGGGGAGACATGGATATCATGTGAAGGAGGGTGCTGAGACTGGTGTGATCTTGCATAGATTTGTTCCCTGTGATTCTCTCAACATCAAGCTTTTGCCCTGCAGGGCTCTGTTCAGCTCTTTTACAGGGATTTGCCCTTGTCAATCCAGGAAGCATACGAGATCCTGCTGTCCCAGGAGGCAATGAGCCTACCACATTACCAGGTGTGTTGGGACCTCCAGCTACTGCAGGGAGGATGAAGTCAGAGATCCCAGCCTCTGCCACACAACCTCTTCCAGTGGCTGAAAGCAGAGTAGGACAGTTAGGGAGGGAAGGGGAGTCATAGAATCATTTAGGCTGGAAAAGACCTTTAAGATCATTGAGTCCAACCATACCTGTCCACTATTAAACCATGTCCCTAAGCACCTCATCTGCCTGTTTTTTAAATACCTCCAGGCTTGACCACTTCCCTGGGTAGCCCATTCCAATGCCTGATAACCCTTCGGTGAAAAAATTTTTCCTAATGTCCAACCTAAACCTCCCTTAGTGCAACTTGAGGCCATTTCCTCTTGTCCTATCGTTTGTTACTTGGCAGAAGAGACTGACACCCACCTCACTACACCCTCCTTTCAGGTATTTGTAGAGACCGATAAAGTCTCCCATCGGTCTCCCTTTCTCCAGGCAAAACACCTCAGCCGCTCCCCATCAGCCTTGTGCTCCAGACCCCTCACCAGCTTCGTTGCCCTTCTCTGGACGTGCTCCAGCACCTCAGTGTCCTTCTTGGAGTGAGGGGCCCAAAACTGAACATGGTATTCAATGTGCGGCCTCACCAGTGCCTAGTACAGGGCCACAATCACTGTCCTAATCCTGCTGGCTACACTATTCCTGATATAAGCCAGGATGCTGTTGGCCCTCTTGGCCACCTGGGCACACTGCCAGTTCATATTCAGGCAGCTGTTAACCGACACCCCCAGGCCCTTTTCCACCAGTCAGCTTTCCAGCCACTCTTCCCCATGCCTGTAGCGTTACATGGGGTTGTTGTGACCCAAGTGCAGGACCCAGCACTTGGCCTTGTTTGTTGAACCTCACACAGTTGGCCTTGGCCCATCAGTCCAACCTGTGTAGTCCCTCTGTAGAGCCTCCCTACGCTCAAGCAGATCGACACTCCTGTCCAACTTGGTGTTGTCTGTGAATTTACTGAGGGTGCACTCAATCCACTCATCCAGATCATTGATAAAGCTACTAAACTGAACTGGCCCCAGCACTGAGCCCTGGGGAACACCGCTTGTGCCTGGCTGCCAACTGGATTTAACTCCATTCACCACAACTCTTTAGGCCTGGCCGTCCAGCCAGTTTTTTACCCAATGAAGAGTATGCCTGTCCAAGCAATGACCAGCCAGTTTCTCCTAGAGAATGTTGTGGGAAGCGGTGTCAAAGGCTTTACTGAAGTCTAGGTAGACAACATCCACAGCCTTTCCCTCATCCACTGAGCAGGTCACCTTGTCACAGGAGGAGCTATTCTCAGTTTTTCCCATTCGCCTTCTTCCAGATGATCAGTTCCTGTTTCCCCACCTTTGCTTTGGGTCCTAACCCTGGCATTTTCCCCTCTGCCAGTGTCACAGTGTTCACTCAGTTGTAGTGGAACTGAAGTAAATTATTTGGTTTTAGGGTAGTCGTTTAACCCTCTTGCTTTCCTTTGCTCTAAGGTGTTCAGCCACTTGAAGCAACTGGGTTATGTTGTACTGAGATTCGACCCCAGGTAACCAGCTTTTCCTTTCCACGCTGCTTTCTCCTTTCTGAAGACCCTGAGCAGCTCTGTGCCCACTGTATGGCCCCAGTGGAACAGCAGAGAAGAGGACTTTGACCCTGCATTCCGTCTCTTGGGAGGATTAAAGGCTAAAAGTGGCACTCTACCCTTCCTTGCTCCTCCTTCTTGAGGAGGTGATTGGGAACATGAAATGGGGCATAAACTGAGGACCATCCTGGTCCTCCTTGTGGATTTTCTGTGCCTGGAAGAAAAGATTTTTGTTGCTGTATTCTGGGGGCTGTTTCACTGCTCCGCCCTACTTTCAGCCTCTCTGTTGGTGTCTCCTTGCAGCACTGTCCTGTCTCCCTACGAGAGGCAACTGAACCTGGAAAGTCACTGCGAGACCTCTGGGAAACACCATCGCAAAAGGAGGAGGAGTTCCAGCCCCCGGTAAGGATGTGGCACAAAGCTGCCTTCTACCTTCTCTCAGGCTCTGTGGCTTGGGAACAGCATCCTCAGCCCTTTGTGCTGTGGGTGACTTGTCTGGCTGTCCCCAAGCAGCACAGTGCTTTTCCTGAACTCTTTGCAGTGTGTGCTTTTGTCACATCTGTACTTTATGAAGGGCTATTAGGGGCAAAGTGCCCCTGTGCTTCCCAGCTGCAGTGGTGAGATGTCAAATTAGAAGGGTAGGGAGGTCAGCACAGAACAAACACGTGGCAGATGTCTCTTCTTGCTCTTTTTTTAGAGGGATCACAGATACCGCGGTGCCCATCTTGCACTTATATCCACCCCCTCGATGCAGCTTACATGCTAGGACTGTATGGCAGAGAGCATAGTTGGGTCCTGGTCCTTCCACAGGGCCTTTAGAAGTAGCCAAAATGCAAACAGCAGCTGACATAATTACTAATTTTGCTAATAATTATGATGGCTTCCAGTAGGTGGCATCACCCTCTAAGACATAGGGAGGATGAGACTGGTCTGCAAGTTAACAAGTAACTCAGTGCCTGAGCAGTTATAAAATTTTAGGAATCGGGAGATGAAACTCCTGGTTTGTAAACTGCCCCATCTTCTCTGGGAGTCAGGGACTGAATCTCATACCAGTAAGAGGTGCTGGCAGGAAGATTTCTGCCTGGCCTGTGCTGGTTTGGCTGAAGTCCATCATGTTTGTGTGGAGGGGTTTGGGTCAGTATATGTCTGGGGTGTGTGGAGGCCACATGGCAGGTTGGGAACGTGTGTCTATATAAATCAAGGCTGGGATTCTCGTGAGCGTTGGGAGTCAGAACTCATGCAGGACTGCTGAGAAGCTTATTCTGCCTTTGGCATTCACTGCTTGGTTTTGTCCTGCTTTTATCCCTTCTCATTTTGTCACACAAGCAAACTCACTCCTTCCAGCCAAGAGGTTGTTGTCAAGGGTTCGCAGACCTGTCTGGGGCTTCCTGCCACCTTTGCCGTCCTTCCTTCAGGCTTGGCAGACTGCATTCTTCCTGTTAGCAGGGCGAAGGCAGGATTCAAAGGGGATAAAGTTCCACCACACACTCTCCCTGTCTTTTATGCTGCTGCTTCTGTCTTTAGGTTGCATGAGAAGAAACATAAGGTATCTGAGGACCTTCCAGAAGCTGAAGAGACCTCTGAAAAAGCTGGAGATGACTGTGGAGACTCCAGCTGCCTTCCTATGGATGAAAAGCCCGTGTCAGAACAGCCAAAGGAATTGGATGCTGGCAGTGGAGAGGGGAAGTCAAACCCAGTTCCTCTTGATACAGGACAAAAGGACTCCCTAAGCCCCTCCAGGAGCTGGGCTGGAGACCACAAGGAGAGCAGCACTGGCACCCGTGCACCCCGCTGGGATTTTACCACCATCATCTTGCCAAACATGGCCTCAGATCAGCCGTGCACACATCTGCCCTCACCTGCCAACGGGCTCCTGCCAGAGAATGTGCCGGGGAGGGAGGTTGATGCAGCTTTCTGGTGCACACGCATCAATCAGAAACAGGAGAAGCTGTCACGGAAGGAAAGGGAGCAGCGAGAGAGGGAGAGCAGATACAAGAGCAGTGTCAATGCTGACCAGGAGGTGAGGCGCTGCTCCAACTGGCAGGAGTACAAAGCCCTTTTGGAGCAGAGGAGCCAGCAGAGGCTTTGGAGACGACCACCGCATCTCTGGGACCAAGCTGTCACACCGCTTTTGCGGCCAGATGAAGCTACCTCATCAGGTAGTGGCTCTGGGAACTTGACAGGGATCCCCTTCTCCCCTTCCAACTCTGAAACATTGCCTGGTATGCAATAGCAAAAGGGATGCCATGGAGAAACTGAATGTCAGTTTAGGGCACAGTACCTTGAGAAGCAGAATCTCATTAGGAGGCCCAGGCAAAGCAGGCACAGAGAAGCCCAGCCATGGACATGGGGAGAGACAAGAAAGCTTGTCCTCTGCCTTTCCATCTCTTTCTATAGCTCACTCAAGTGCCAAGATAAACAGGGCCTTGGGAGGCCTTCTAATCCATTCCCCATGTTCTACTGTATTGCAGTCCTTCCTGCTAGGCTGTTAGGCATGTGAAACCAGGGCCAGCAAGATGCAAAGCAGGGTGTTCTGGACTGTGTGCTGGGAGGAGATGAGGAAGTTGAGGTCTTTGAAGTAGCCAGTGGTGACTGTGGTGCTGCCAGCCATTGTCAGAGGAGGAAGGCTCGTGGGTGGTGGTGGAGTGCTTGGAGTGCCCTGGGAGAGAAATAGCTGGTCTGATCCTTTCCTATTCCTTCTCCCTCCAGCTGCGCTGCTCCAGCAGATCAGCGTGCTGCAGCCTTCCCACATCCTGGATGGAGCCTCCCGGTTAGTATCCAGCCAGCCAGCTCGTAGCTGTAGGGAGCAGGGGTGTCTTATGACTGTCCCTGCTTGTGAGGTCTGTGAGAGGCTCGCAGCAGGAGCTTGGGAGCTGCCTGGCATCCAGGTTGCCAAGAGAATCCAGTGCTCTGCTCCATGACTCTGTTGCGTCTGTGGTGAGGGGCTGACATTTTCATGAAGTACCAGATCCTGCAGCAACAGAGCTAGGGCATTCCAGGCCAATTAAAACATTGGGATTGCTCTCTTTTCCTGCCGTTCCCTCTCTGCACCCAGCCAGGTAATCTCCCCCAGAGGTTTGGTTGGGTTGGGTTTCACTTGTGCCTCATCCCTGGAATGTGCTGCCATCCCTGCTGCAGTGATTAGAAAAACTTGGCTTTGGGACTTTTGGTTCTGCTCCGGCCTCAAAGAGTGTGTGGTGATTGTCTGCAGTCCCCATAGGACAGAGCGGTGCTTTGCTTCTGTATTTGTTTGTGGTGCTTCTTGCAAGGGGATCTGCAGAGAAGGGACTGTGGCAGACGTGGGGCAGGAGCTTGCTCTGGTCTGACTACAGGAAGGATCTGGAAAGTAATTAGAACAGTTGCAGGGGCAGTCCTTTGAGGAGTGAAGCCTTTCAAAGGGCTCAAACTAGCCAGGTTTCGAGAGCTTCTGCTCCCTCCTTCCTCTGCTGTATCTATACCCTACAATGTTATGTTTGTGTAGGTAAGTGAATGTGTTTTCTCTTCTGTAGGCTGCAGGATGACCCAGAGGGCATAAAGATAGACTTCAATGTGTATCAAGCAGATGCTGTGGCCAAGTTTAAGAAGACAAACCCTGGGAAGCCATATGTCAGGATGTGTGTTCGGAGGTATCCATGGATTTTATGCTGTGTTCTGAAACATAGGAGTTGCTGTTACGGAACTGAAGTCCTAATGATCTGTAAATGACCCAGCATCTTGTGAGCTTTACAGATCATCAGGGTGCTTCCCCTGAGGGTGGTCCTGCCCAGAATTTTTTTTTTTTTTTCAGTTCCTCCTTTGTTGGAGGCTGTGGTTGACAATTCCCCCCAGCCCTTGCACTCAGCCCACGCTGTTTGGTCATCTGGTTGCTGCTCATGTCTGAGTATTACTGGAGTCAGGAATAAGAAGCCACAGTTGTATTTATGCAGTGCTTTTGAAACTCATGTAAAGCTCAGTTTTTCAGGGAGCTGTATGGTACCTGAATCCTCATCCAGTGCAGCTCCCTATGGATTTCTGCAGATGTGTACCTCCTCAGAGCTTGCTGCAGGCTCAGGGCCACGGGTTTAGTATTTTGATCTTTGTAAAATGTAACTGTAAGATCAGTACAAACAGAGGCTAGGTGTCCCCTTTCTTGCTGGATCCAGAATCTGATACTTAAATGCCATAGGCAGGTATAAAGTTCAGTCTCTGCCTTTTCTAATGTTGATATATACTAAAACTGTCCCTCCTCCACTCTCTGCCACTGTAGTAGCCAGATCGGGAAGGTGGTAATGCAATTTTGCAAAGGTCTGTTGTGAGCAAGTAGGATGATCCTTGCTTTATAAATATTTTCATTTACAAGCAAACAGACTCTGCAGAATTAAATGGAGGGGAAAGCAGGTCAGATGTTGATCCCAGCAACCTGAAGATCTTCCTGGCACAAAGGTATTAAGATTACACTGGACTGGCAATTTGCCAATAGCCCTGTGAGCCGCATCCACTAGGCACAGTGTGGAGCAGCATGCAGTTGCCCTTGTTTTTGGCAAAGGATTTGACAGCTCCCAGTTCCCGGCATGCAGTATACTCTCTCAGGGCTGGCAGCCTCCTGCTTTGACTGAAAGGGGTGGGGAGGGTCGCTACCAACTCCTAAGACCAAAGCGGGCTCTTGTGATCACTGGCCAGGACAGGTCTGTATTTTTCTTGCTTTAACAATGGGATATTTTTCTCTCTGCAGCTTTGATGAGCAGATTCCATCCCTTCGGGCTTTGAAGCAGGTTACGTATCAGAGTGGGGACGTTCCAGTGGTCTTTGCGCTGGTGGATCATGGAGAAATTGCCTTTTATTCGCTAAAGGAATTCAAGCTGCCAGTTGACGTTCATCACTGAAGTTGCTGTCACTTGCAGAAATGGTATGGGACGAAGAGAAGTTTTACTCAGGATTTGTTTTCTTGATTAATGAAATATTACAGAAAATAGAGCCTGTTCCTGATAACTGGAACCTTGGGTAGTTGACCACTTTATTCGTTGTTACAGACTTCACCCAACCAGATGGCTCAGGCATAATAGCAAAATTTACAGCAATTTACAATTTTTAGAAGTTACTTGTAGTGTGAATGGCTTAGCTGGGCATTTCTGGACGTGAATACACACTGCTTTGTTCTTGAAGCCACTGGTTCTCCAGTTTTCTCATCTCATGGGCCACTAGTCTGCCTTTTCTGTGTCATCTTTGGCTGACCTGTGGACCATTAGAAAACACTTGGCTGGTGATCCTCTTGTCACATGTTAAGAACTACTGTGCTACACCAGTTGAATGGTTGGAGAGTGAGTGAGGTCAATCAGGAGCAGAATAAGCTGATCAGATCAGTGGGGGTGTCCTGAGCCTCTGTCATTCAGCTACGCCAACAACTGTCAGATCAGATTCTGATCTGAAAAAGGCACAGCCGTAAAACTCAGCCACACAGAGTTTTCAGGCACTCGAGAGTGGGAAACTGCCTTGAACGCTATTTCATCCGCCGGAGGTCACAGACAGTCCCAGAGCACTGCAGGTGGCACCCCAGCTGTGCTGAGATGCGTTTTGGTCACCCAGCATTATGCCATATTAAGTTTGGCCACCAGTATCAGCATACTGTATCTGAAAGTCTCATCGGGGCTGTACTGCAGCCCCCCTGTTTCAGCCTGACATCCTCTTTCCTGTCTGTGGATCCTTGTCTTTTCTTTTCCAAGTGAGATCCCTGAGTAAAGAAAGAAGCTACAAATTCCTCATGAGCCTTCCAGTCCTATAGCTGTTGTGCTCCAAATTGAGGACATCATTGCTTTCCAGGGAGCTTTTCCTGGGGGAGCTTTCCACCAGGATATCCAGGTACCAAATTTGCTTTAGCCTCTATGCAAAAGTGCCAGTGATGGGTGCCAGAAAGTCTGCTCAGTAGATAGAAGTGTGCTGAGCATGGCTGTGTTTGGCATCAAGGTTCTTCAGAACTGTAATAGCAACTGGTTTAGATGCATTTTATTTTATAATTTTTGAGTTCCTTTTGGAGATGGGGAGAAGGCTAAGCAATAAAAAAGCTTTTTCCAACAACATGTGCTCCTCAGCGTTGTTCTTAATTCCTGGAGAAATGTTAGTAAGTTATGCAGAGGGAAACACTCTTGGGGAGGCTGATGGGACCCCAGTAGCACCAGCTGGTGGATGCCTGCTCATGGTCATGCAACCCTGTGGCTGCGTAACCCTGCCTCTACGCCTGTCTGCATGTGATCCAGCTGCTGCCCCATTCCCTGGGAGGGCAGCGTGACTCTGAACCTGGAGGAGTCTGTACGTCTGCGTGTAGTTCCTGTTGGCACACAACACCTCGACACCCTTGTCCTGCGTGGTCAGAGGTATAGTAGCCCAAGGTGGCAGGGATCTGCTGCAAGCACTGTGCCTGGTCCTGTTTCATGCACTCGCCCATGTTATCAGATGCTGGAAGTCAGCAGGGATCTGCTGAGGTGAGGGTCTGACAGCTCCCCTCCCCTTCCTCTTCTTCCAGCAGTGCTTCTGCTCTGATAGTCCTCTTCAAACGCTGGAGTTCTTAGCAGCTCCAGTCTGTGCCCTCAGCATTCTCCCAGACTGTTTTGCAGATTAAAGGCAGTGGGAAGAGAGTTTCTAAGAACAGGCACAGCCAGAAGAGCTCCAGTCGGACCCACAGGGCTCACGTTTGTCCTAGAATTAGGTCAAACTCACTGCTGATTTCAATCAGTCTCACCTGCTTATGCCAAGGTGGAATTGTATCGATGAACTCTATGAGAGCCACCCAGTGAGTTTCGCTGGGGCAGAGACTCCCTGATTCAGCACAAAATAATTACAATTTAATAACCACTGCAGGGAGGATTGAGAAACTGTGGCTGCCTTGCTCAGCACCACAACATCTGACGGTGCCTTCACCAGGATTGGATTATGATGCAGGCTGATACCACTGCTTCATTTTGGCCTGTGATGTGGATTGGCTGGATGTTGCAAGATGACAGTATTTTATTTGAAAACACCACTTTTGGAAGCTAGGCTGAGAGGTTGACCATTCCTGGCCCCTTGTCAAAGGTAATTTCAAGTGTTTGCATGGATGCAGAGAGGTTGGCAGGCCTTGGACTGCCATCTGCCCTCCACGTAACTACGGATTCCTTGCCCAGCTGTTGTTCCCTGCAGTAGGACACGGGCTGGCTGCAGCCAACCTGTGTAGCACGATAGCGGCAGTTGCATGGCTCTTTCCAACCAAGGCTTCAGCTTTTTGGTCAGTCTTTCTGTCTCTTTTTTGCAACCGACGACGGGCTGGCGCCTTCCCTCGGCTTTGCGCCAAGTCCCTGCCCCTCGCGGGGCTGGCGGACGAGCAGAGCCGGGAGGAGG